AGTCAGAATGGCTAAAATTAACGAGTCAGGAAACAACAAATGTTGGCAAGGATGCAGAGAAAGGGTAACCCTCTTGCACTGCTGGTGGGTACGCAAGCTGGTACAGCCACTCTGGAAGATAGTATGGAGGTTTTTCAAGAAGTTAAAAACAGAGCTACCCTATGACCCAGCAATTACACTACCAGGTATTTACCCCAAAGATACAAATGTAGTGAAACGAGACACCTGCACCCCAATGTTCACAGCAATGTCCACAATAGCCAAATTATGGAAAAAGCCCAGCTGTCCATTGACAGATGAAAGAATAAAGAAGATGTGGTATACATATACAATGGAATATTACTCAGCCATCAAAAAACACGAAATCTTACCATTTGCAAAGACATGGATGGAATTAGAGGGTATTATATAAATGAAACAAGCCAATCGGAGAAAGACAATGCTCATATGACTTCATTCATATGTGGAATTTAAGAAACAAAACAGAGGAGCATAGGGGAAAGGAGGGGAAGATAAAATAAGATCAAATCACAGAGGAAGACAAACCATAAGGGATTCTTTTTTTTGGGGGGGGGGATTCTTAACTCTAGGGAACAAACTGAGGGTTGCTGGAGGGAAGGTGGGTAGGGGGCTAGGATAACTGGGTGATGGGCATTAAGGATGATACGTGATGTAATGAGCACTGGGTATTATATAAGACTGATGAATCACTGATCTATTTCTGAAATTAATAACATACTATATGTTAGCTAATTGGATTTAAATAAAATAAAATTTAAAAAATAAATAAATAAAATAAAAAATAAACAAAACCAGCCTAGCTTAGAAAAATGTAAGGCAGACAATAACCTTGGGGAAAAACCTACCTGCAACAAACATAATAAACAAGGGTTAAGCATCCTACTGAAAAGAGTTTGCAAGTCAAAAAGAAGCTCAAGACTTCAAAAGAGAGGCCTCTGGGACACCTGGGTGGCTCAGTGGTTGAGTGTCTGCCTTTGGCTCAGGGCATGATCCCCGGGGATAGGAACTGAGTCCCACATCGGGCTCCCTGCATGGAGCCTGCTTCTCCTTCTGCCTACGTCTCTGCCCCTCTCTCTCTGTCTCATGAATAAATAAATATAGTCTTTTAAAAAAGGGGGGTGGGGCACCTGAGTAGCTCAGTGATTGAGCAACTGCCTTTGGCTCAGGTCATGATCCCAGGGTCCTGGGATCTAGTCCCACATCAGGCTCCCCACAGGGAGTCTGCTTCTCCCTCTGCCTGTGATTCTGCCTCTCCCTAAGTCATGAATGAATGAATGAATGAATGAATGAATAAATAAATAGTTTTAAAAAAGACTTCAAAAGATGTGCAGATAATTCACAGGTGACAAAAGTACAATAATTACAAAATGTTAAGATATTCAATCTCACTAATAATAAAAAATGCAGATTAAAAGAACCAAAGGCTATTCTTCAGCCATCAAAGAAAAAAAGGTTCACACCAAATTGCTAACACCTCCTGTGGCTCAGGACTTGGCTGAGTGAGCACTCAAACACTACAAACACTGTCATGGAGAGTGCTTCAGGTTTATGCCCTAAAAATATCCATTCTTACTCTTTGTCCCAGTAATTCCACTTCAGAGAATCTATTTCAGGAAATTCTCAAAACTGCAAAGATATTTATGTAGAAAATGTAAATTGCAGCCCAGTGGAAATGGGGTGGTAGGGAATGTAAATAAGAGAGAGGAGAGAAAACACCTCTCAGGATGTGTGTATGTATTTGCATGCATTTATGTGAAAGTGGAAAAAGGTGAGAAAGGATACATACCTGTTAGTCCTGCTAGTGCTGGAAGGTGGGAATGAGGGGGGCATTATTCACTTTGTCTCTATATGCCTCTGCATTGATTAACTTGCCCTAATTAACAGTGTATTGCTTTTGGAATTATAAAACATACCCCAGGAGGGGCGCCTGGGTGGAACAGTGTGTTAAGTGTCCAACCCCTGGTTTTGGCTCAGGTCATGATCTCCAGGTTGTGAGATCAATCCCTACATCAATCCCCTCATGGGGTTCTGCACTCAGCTGGGAGTCTGCCTAAGATTCTCTCTCCTGAGGCACCTGGGTGGTTCAGTTGGTTAAGTGCTTCTGGCTTAGGTCATGATACCAGGGTCCTGGGATCAAGCCTCACATTGGGCTCCCTGCTCAGAAGAAAGTCTGCTTCCACTTCTCCCTCTCCCTTGTAATGCTCTCCCCCCCCACCACCATTTGTGCTCTCTCTCTAGCTCTGCTTTCAAATAAATAAATAAAATCTTATAAAGGGGGGGGGAATTCTCTCTCCCTCTACCCCTCCTCCCCACCTCCACATACTAGCTCGCTCTCTCAAATTAACTGATTTTTTTAAAAATACCATACTCAAAAAATAAATAAATAAATAAATAAATAAATAAATAAATAAATAAATAAATAAATAAATACCATACTCCAGGAGAAGAAAATATCCACTACAAAAAAGACAAAACTATGCCAAATGGATCTGATCCCTATCTATCCTATCACACTGACCCTAAAAGAAGAAGAAGAAGAAGAAGAAGAAGAAGAAGAAGAAGAAGAAGAAGAAGAAGAAGAAGAAGAAAAAATAGTCACTAAGTCTCCCAGGCCCCACAATAGCCAACACTGATTAACTTCTGTGGCCATGATTGAGGTGCCATACCCAGTGCCTCGCAAGTAGAAGAGGAGACTACCAGAAAACCAAAAGAAATCTTAATTCTCAAATTAATACTCGCTACTTAATCTTTGTCTAGAAGCCTGAGGGAATCAAGAGAAGAGATTGTGGTAACCCTACATGCAGGTCACTGCCGCATCTCTGCCACACCAATAGCCCTGAGTTAAAATGCTACAATTTGGGCCCATGTGAAATATCCCTTTGATGCAAACTGCAAAGGAAGAAAATCAGATAATGAAGTATAGCTAGAACAAAGATTAGCCTGGCTAGTTAAGAAAGTCTTACAGATATATACAACTTCCAGATAATACTCCACAGCGCTTAAACCAGAAAAGATAAAAATTTTAAAAGCTGTGGGCAAACAAGCATTTATATCTATATCTCTACGCGCAGCACACACAGATATATACACATGTATACATATACATACATATTTTTAAAATCATTTAAGCCAGGGTGTCTGGGTGGTTCAGCCAGTTAAGCATCTACTTTCTGCACAGGTCTTAGTCCCAGGGTCCTGGGAGCAAGCCCCAGATCGAGCTCCCCATTCAGTGGGGAGTCTGCTTCTCCTTCTCCTTCTGCCTCTGCCCAGCTTGTGCGTGATCTCTCTCTTTTTAAAAATATTTTTTAAAATATTTAAGTCTATATGGTAGAATGCCAAAGGAAGAGAACTTTAGAATTATTGTGTCCAACCCTCCCACTTCTCAGATGAAGAAGAAACTGGAACGCAGATTGTCAAATGCCACACAGTCACTAGGGACAAACCTAAGACACTCTGATAACAATATCTGCTCTTCTAGATGCACTGAACGTAATTCATAAAGGGTTTTCACAGCCATTATTTTCTTTGACCTTCACCAAAGCCAGATGTTTCCACAGATGAGAAAATGAAGGCTCCAAGGGTTTGGATGATTTGCCTACATTACCTGGCTAGTAGCTCCAAATCCCAGATCCCATACCCCTTCCCCTCAGCCACCAGCTGGCACTGTTGCCCAAACCCTTCCTGACAGCCCAGGCAGTGGGTTCTCCAGTTTCAAGCACAAAGACTGTCAAGCACTAAGCATTCAAAAATAAGAGTGAATACCTCACATGGAGAAAGCTAAGCATATCGTGGATGATCAACAAAATACGACAAATCTTTTAAAAAGGAAGATGTTGGGATCCCTGGGTGGCGCAGCGGTTTGGCGCCTGCCTTTGGCCCAGGGCGCGATCCTGGAGACCCAGGATCGAATCCCACGTCAGGCTCCCGGTGCATGGAGCCTGCTTCTCCCTCTGCCTATGTCTCTGCCTCTCTCTCTCATTCTGTGTGACTATCATAAATAAATAAATAAATAAAAATTAAAAAAATAAAAATAAAAAGGAAGATGTTGATAAGCCGAAATCCACATTAGATGAGAATGCTGGACCTCATGTAGGAGAGCCACAAATTACCTACACCTCAGAGACAGGTCTCGATCAATTTGGCCTCAATTACCCAGGGCTGCCCCACCTGATCACCCTACCTCCAATCACTTCCCATCTCTCTCCTTAGCGGGTCTCAGGAATCCGCAAGGCTCCCTACAGCCCGCAATGCCAAATCCAAACTCCGTGCCCTGGCCCTCAAGGTCCTATCAGCTGACTGATTCCACTGTTTCCTGAATTACTCACTGACCCTGGCCTTTTCTGGACTCTTCCCTTCCACAGAACCCCTTTTCCTTTATGCTTTGGCACCTCGGGGCTCCAGGTGAAAACTGGTCCCTTACCCTACTTCCATCAACCCCAGGTAAAAAGGGCAGAGGCTTTTTTTTTTTTTCTTTCAATGAAAGTGGACTTACACGACATCCGCTTGAACCTATGTGACAACCAAGTTGACTAGAAACAGGCACAATGACCAGGCAGCTCCACTGGCAGAGGCCTCTAGTTTGGGTTTTCCAATACAGAAGCAGGAGTTATCCAGGCTCCTTTCAGGCCTGAGGAGTCTTGAGTTCCTGGGGCTCTTCCTAAAATGGCCCATTGGAGGCAACCACAGGAGCCTAGGGGCTGACACACCTACCGGTCCTTCCCATCCGGACCCCACCCCCAGATCTGTCCCTGGAGTCAGGACCCCAGCTTCATTATCAGGGACCCAGTTTTCCATATGTGAAAAGGGGAGAAAGGGGTAGCAAACCTGAAGAGGGAAATGACGTAAGATAACTTCCCAACTACAAAGGTTCTCCCATAAAAGTAACCAAGGATAACCAAAACCCCTTCTTGCTGGGACACTGCAAACTGTCGTAACACAAACACCTTGGCCATTCCCTAGGTTAATGTGCACAGACCTACCCCATTACAGCATCCTGCTTGCTGTACGGAGGTCCCAGAGTTCCTGCAAGAAGTCAGCTCCTGGTGAGGGAGCATATAGTTGTCTGCAGTCTTCCACCGGAATGAACAGTGCTGCAAAGAACAATCTTGTATAAGCATTTATCATTGTCCTGTGATTATTTCTAATGATAGATTCCTGGAAGTGGACTTACTGGCGGAGAGGACGCACACATTTTAAATTCTGATACTTATGAACTGAAAAATTTTTATGTAGTAATCTCATACTTGACTGGTACTTATGCTTTACCTGGGGAATCCGTTTACAAAGTGCAATCCTGACACACTATCAGCCTCCTTTACATCCCAGCCTTTCCCCTCCCCCCACCCCCAGGAAGTCTGGGGAGGGGCTCCTGAAGCTGCTTTGTTATCCAGCTCCCAGGTGGCCCAACTGCGAGGAAGGAGCTGCTGCCTTCTATTTGCCCCAGGGCACCTGACCTAGCCCAAGCCTTGGGAAGCCCTGACCCAGGGAACTAGCAGTTTGCAGGGAGGTGTCTGGGCTGTAGCCCAGGTCCCCAGTGGCTTCCCCTATTGGTTGTCTCACACACTCTCTCCCCCAAACGGGCAGAGTCCAGCTCTCATGCCCTGGACCACAATACCTACCACTGAGTGTTGAGGACAGAGTCGTACCTCCAGGCTCACCTGGATGCACTATTTCCCCTTCCAGCCCCCCACCCCAAAGTCCCTGCCCCACACATGTCTTTGAGCCTAGGGATCAGGGCCCAGCAGTTTTACCTTTACCTAAGACTCCCCAAGCCTCCCTTCTCTCAGAAGACAGAGCACCACCTCCCCCAAGAACTCGTTTGGGGCCGCCACACTGGGCCTCAGTCACCCTATCTGTGAAATGGTGGGCGTTGGGCAGTGACACTGATATTTTGGTTCTGCTGTGAGGTGGGTAGTGTGGCCAACTAGGTTCTAAGTGGTTGCAGGGAAGTCTGGCTTTAATCGAGAGCCCAGGTGCACCTTGGCGGTCATTTAATCAGCTTTCTGATGGGCCTGTTCGGAAAAAACTCAATTTTTATTTTCAGATTTCTCCACTGCTCAAGTGCAATTAGGACCGACAGCCGTTTCAAGGCTGCTCAAGGGTCCTAGATATCTGGGACCAGATGAGGAACCTGAGGCCCAGGAAAGGCCTTGCCCTGTTTTAGGCTGTGTGCTGCTGCGCCCTGGGGAACAACAAAGACTGGTGGGAAAGAGGAGGCGGGCTGGTCAACAGGGACTTCACACTGTGGTACAGAACAGAGAGCAGGCAAGAGTGTTGGCAGGGCTGGCGAAGACCAAAGGAAACATCCTGGGAGCTGGGTGCGGTGAGCAGAGGGGGAAAAAAAAAAAAAAAAAAAAAAAACACCAGCGAGGGGCGCTGGGCCCTTCTAGTCAGGAGGTCTGCCCCGTGAGGTGAGGGCTGGGCTCCACGATCCTGGTGTGACAAGAATCCAGTCTAGGGCCTCCGGAGCTCATGGGTCAACCGGGTGCGGGTGTGTAACGGCACCGACCCTTGGGCCCACGGGCCGGGTGGGATGTACACACCAAGGGCCCTTCTCCGCGTAGCTGGGGCTAATCGCTCCTCCAGCGCTGTTTTACCTCAGGCCGCCTCCTGTGTTCTACACGCAGGAGTGCGGGCTTCGGGCTTCTGTCCGAGGCAGCCTTCTACCCGACTCTAGCGGCCGTTGAGGGCAGAGGAGTCGTCGCCGTCAGAGCCCGGTCCTCAGCAGCTCGGGCAAATCCCCGGGCTGACCGGGCCTCAGTTTCCTCTTGGTGCGAAGGGAACCATCGCACCGCCGGCGGGAGATGGGGCGCGGGGAGCGGCCCCACAAACGTCAGTTTCTGCGGGACTTCTCCCCTCTGGACCGGCCCCCGCCGCCGGCGCGGAGCACACAGTAGGCGCTCCGGAAACGCTCTCGGAGAGGAGCAGCGGGCCACTTCCTGCCCCCGAGCGGATTCTCCCGAGCCGAGGTTCCCACCACTCCTCTTCGGAGGCCATGTGGCATTCCTGAGGGTGGGGGTGGGCGCAGGAAGAAGGTGCCCTCCCGGCCCCGCCCCCTCCGGGCGCGCGGGGCGGGACGAAGCCCCCGGCCGGCGTCGGCCCGCCCCGCGGGGGGTGGGCGTAGCTCGCCGCGCTCCGCACAAAGTTTGTTTTCTCCCTCCGGACGGGTGGGGGAGGGCGAGGAAGGCGCCGGGGGGAGGAGAGGGGATCTGACGTCAGGCCGCGAGGTGCTTTCCAGCCGCGAGCTGTCAGGCCGAGTGTCAGGCCCGGCAGGTACGCGGCGCGCTCCCCCGGCGCCCCCCGCCCCCTGCCCGGACGCCCGGGGCCGAGCCAGGGACCGCGTGGACGGAAAGGCCGCTCGGAGAAGTCAGTGCGGGCCGCAGGAGGGGGACAGAGGCGGGTGGGGGGCGCGCGGACAACTTGGAAAGTTTCTCTTTCTCGGCCGGGCGGGGGAGGGGGCGTCGTCCTGGCGCGTGCGACTGTGGGTGTGTGAGCTCGGGTGTCTGTGAGCGGCGACTGCCGGAGGCGGGCGGGGGCCGGTGGGGGCACTGTCCCACGGCCCCCCCCGTCGGGAGCTCCCTCGGGGCCCTCCTGGGGGGCCCGGCTCCCTACGATCCCGGCCCTCGAGAGGGCCGCCCCAGCCGGGCCGGGGTGAGCGCGCGGGGGGCGGGTTTGTTTGGTTTAAAAAGTGCACGTTGCTAACCGCCGGCAGCCTCTGCCCCCCCCCCCCCCGCCGCGGCCGAGCCGAGGAGGGGGCCGCCAAGAGTGACAGCTGCGGGCGGGGGCAGAGGGAAGGGCCCGGGGCTGGGGGGCTGGGGAGCCCGCGCGAGTTCCCCTTTCCTTTGGAACAAAGGAAAGTCTGTCTCGGAGGCATCTGTCACTCCCAGGCGGGCCGAGGAAGGGGGCGCGTGGGGCCGGCGACCCGAAGAAAGTTTGTGCGCGCCGGGACCCTCGGGCAGGCCGAGCGTGAGCCGAGCCTCCCGCGGGGGAAGCGCGCAGCCTCGGGGGCAGGGGGCGGCCAACATGGAGTCTGGGCGCAGTGCTGGGGGGGGGGGCGGTGCGGAGGTGGGAGCCCAGCCCCCTCCCCTCCCCCTCCGGGCCGAGTTCGGAGCACAAAGCCGAGCGCGCAGGCTCGGCCAGCCCCGCGCCCCGAAGAGTCAGCCAGCGCGGAGCGGCGGGGGAAGGGGGTGGGAACCAAACTTTTTCCTGCCCCGGGACGGACACGTGAGTTTTCTTTCTTCCAGAGCCCCCGCCCCGCCCGCTCTGAGGGCCGGCGGGGTGGCGGGGGCGCCGAGCCCGGCGCGGGGTGGGGGGCTGAGGGGTGCAGGCGCCCCGAGCGCAGGCCGACTCCCCGCCGCCCCGGGAGCCATGTGCTCCGACTAGGTCTGGGCCGCGGGGGAGGCTGCGCGCTTTGTGTGAACTGCTGGGAATGCGGCGTGAGTGCGCGGCCCGGGGGAGTGTCGGGATGAGCTGGGGGAGTTGTCAGAAAGTTCGTGCGGGAGCGGCTGCAGGTCGGCGTCGAGGAGGGTGGAGGAGGGTGCACCGGGTGCCCTGTCGTGAGGGTGCTGCCACAGGCCAGTTGGGGTAAGAATTGATCGCTGGTGTGATGACGTTTGGAGTTTCCCCAGTCTGAGATGTGGGTGGGCGGGCCGGTCCGAGTTTGTGGGTAGGCCTAGGTCCAGAAACTGGGCTAGTTTCGTGGGTACCAGTTGTTCGTGCTCGATGTGGGATCTGTAAACTGTATGTGTGCTCTATTTGTCAGTGAAAAGCATGGTGATTCCAGGAGCTAAGCGGTGGGTTGGTGCCTGTTACCTGAACACTGTTACAGAGTTGCTTGGTGGTGAGGGCGTCTGTGTGTCTGTCTGTCTGGGTCTGTCCATCTCTCTGTGAGTAGGGGGTATGTATGTGGGAAACCTACCGGATTGTAAGTGCGGGACCCCATGGCAAAGAGTGGTCTGTTGTAGGCTGAGGAGTCCTCTCCATGGGCCACCCCTGGAACCCTGCAGACTGGGACTTGGCTGGCAGCCAGGGTGGAATTTATACAGATAACCCTGAGTAAACTGCTCATAGGCTGCCAGGGCCGCATCCCTGAGCCCAGATCCAACTGCCCTAGCCAGCTAAACCCCAGAAACCTGACCTCAGAAAGCAGCCTGCTCTTGGTGTTCTTTGAGGAGTGGCACCTCTAACCAATGTCTGTCTCACCTCCAGGTGGCCTGGCTGGGAGGGGTAGACCCTTCCCTCGAAAGCCTGGCCTAGCCAGCCCAGATATCTGGGCTCAGGCCCAAGTCGAGGAAACAAAACCTGGGAGATGCCAGAGTCTTTTGGCCCAGCCTACTGGGTAGCTGTTAAAAGGCTGAGGAGGGAGGAGCCTTCAGATTCTGGCATTAGCTTGCCCTGGAACTTTTGGTTTTAAAATGTAAATCTCTTTTGCATGTGTGAACCAGAAGTTTTGTCAGGGGGGTGAGCAACTGAGTTGGGCTGTCTAGGAAAACCCCTTCCTTCGTTTGACAGGTCAAGAGAGGGCTCAGGCCTAGAGAGGAGAGCACAGTTGCCAAGGTCACACAGCCAAGATGGGAGAACCAGAGTCCAGCCTTGCTTATTTGTCTGGATTTTTGAGGAATTGATTCATGGACCAGACCAGGGGCTAGCTGACAAAAGAGAATGTCTGAGACAACCAATAGGGATGAATGCAGTACAGTAGGTGCAGTAAATGTTACTCAGATTGCTGTGGGACCATGGTGATTAATAGATTTTCCAGACTGGGCTGGCAAGATGGTATAGAGAGTTTCAAGGGAGTTGGTTGGTGGTGGTGGCAAACCTTGGTCCAAACCTGTTTCCATACCGTATCCTGGAGGTGAAATTTTGTTTTCTTATTACCTCAAAAAGAAACTCCATGCCCTTTAGCTGTCATCCTTGTGTTCCCCTTCAGCCCATTCCAAATGTTTTATTAAAATGGAATCACGTTTTTTGCAACTTACTTTTTTCACTTAGCATATTTTCAAAGTTCACCCACACAGTAACATGGACATGGATCAGGACTTAGCTCCTTTTTATGACCAAATAATATTCCACCATATGGACAGACTACATTTTGTTTATCCATTCCTACACTGATGAACACTTGGGTTGTTTCCACCTTTTGGCTGTTATGAATAATGTTGTGTTCAAGGTTTTGTGTGAATACAGGTTTTCATTTCTCTTTGGTAGATGCCTAGGAGTGAAATTTTTGGGTTACATGGTAGCTGTTTAAGTTAGGCAGCTTCCTTTCTGGGCCTTGATTTTCTCATCTATAAAATGATAATAGTAGTATGTCTCTTACAAGGACTTTGTGACGATCCAATGAGATAGTAAGTGTGAAGTGCTCAGTACAGAGCATGACAAACAGACCTAGGTGGTAGTTTTAATTCTTTCTAGTCTGATACTGCTTATTAATGAGCTGCCATTTATTTTAGTAGTCCTCTACTGACCCCATAAAATGAAGGCATCTCAGACTCCTCCCTTCTAGGTTGCCCAGGCTAAGGTATAGCCTGAGACTCTGATGTGCTATTCCTCCATTTCGGTGTCTCAGGCTCTAATAATAATGATGTGTTTGGAGACAGAGAAAGAGGGAGAGGCAATGCATGTTAATAATGTCCCTTCCCCTTTGTCACTTGTTCCAGGCTTGCCCAAGGTCCAGCCTAGCCCCTAGACACCATGTCAGACAGTGATCTGGGTGAGGATGAAGGCCTCCTGTCCCTGGCAGGCAAGAGGAAACGCAGAGGAAACCTGCCCAAAGAATCAGTGAAGATCCTCCGGGACTGGCTGTACTTGCACCGCTACAACGCCTACCCCTCAGAGCAGGAGAAGCTGAGCCTTTCTGGACAGACCAACCTGTCAGTGCTGCAGGTAAGGACAAGGTAGCAGGAGACCTGGGTTCTAGTCCTATCTAAGCCCTGTCACTGACACACTGTGTGGCCACATGAAAACACCCACTCTCCCTGCTGCAAGGGAAGACAATGACATGAGGTCATTGCAGTCAGGTTTTGGAGAGTTCTGAGGAGGCAAGGCATCATTATTAATGTCTTGTTGTCATTAACAACAGAGGCCATGGGAAGGTGAGAAGGCATTGAATGTTTGGAATTCAGCCCCCAGCCCCAGAGCAGTGAATAGTGACTTGGTGGTAGAAGGGCAACTGGTGGTCTGCAGTGTGGTTAAAAAATGAGTTGGGGGGAAAAAATGAGTTGGAATCATGGCCAAGGAAAGGGCAGACAAAATTCAGAGATTCTGGGTTCAAAAAAACCCAGTTCTGGGCAGCCTGGGTGGCTCAGCTGTTTAGCGCCACCTTCAGCCCAGGGCGTGATCCTGGAGACCCAGGATCGAGTCCCACATCAGGCTCCCCGAATGGAGCCTGCTTCTCCCTCTGCCTGGGTCTCTGCCTCTCTCTCTCTGTGTCTCAAATAAATAAATAAATAAATAAATAAATAAATAAATAAATAATATATAAATAAATAATAAATAATCAATCAAAAAACAAAAACAAACAAACCCAGTTCTGCCACATAGGAGCTATGGACCACATCTCGATTTCTCCATCTGTAAAGTGGGGGTTAGAATCCTCCCCTGCCTTACTGAATTGTTGTAAGGAGTAGATTCAGAATTGGATGTAAGAATGCTTTGCGGGTGCCTGGCTGGCTCAGTCAGTGGAGCACATGATTTGAGGTTGTGAATTCGCGTCCTACACTGGGTACAGAGATTACTTGAAAAGTCTTTTTTTAAAAAAAAAAAAAAAAAAAAAAAAAAAAGGGATCCCTGGGTGGCGCAGCGGTTTGGCGTCTGCCTTTGGCCCAGAGCGTGATCCTGGAGACCCGGGGTCGAATCCCACGTCGGGCTCCCGGTGCATGGAGCCTGCTTCTCCCTCTGCCTATTGTCTCTGCCTCTCTCTCTCTCAGTGACTATCATAAATAAATAAAAAAACTTACAAAAAAATAAATTTAAAAAAAAAAAAAAAAGAAAAAGAAAAAGAGGGCAGCCCAGTGGCTCAGTGGTTTAGCTCCACCTTTAGCCCAGGGTGTGATCCTGGAGACCCAGGATTGAGTCCCACATCACTGCGTGTGTCTCTGCCTCTCTCTCTCTCTCTCTGTCTTTCTGTCTCTCTGTCTTTCTGTCTCTCATGAATAAATAAATAAAATCTTTAAAAAGAAGAAAAAAAAGAAAGAAAAAGAAAAGATGGAGCACCTGGGTGGCTCAGTTCATTGAGCATCTGACTCTTTTTTTTTTTTTAAAGATTTATTTATTTATTTATGATAGACAGAGAGAGAGAGAGAGAGAGAGAGAGAGGCAGAGACAAAAGAGGAGGGAGAAGCAGGCTCCATGCCGGGAGCCCGACGCGGGACTCGATCCCGGGACTCCAGGATCACGCCCTGGGCCAAAGGCAGGCACCAAACCGCTGAGCCACCCAGGGATCCCCCGAGCATCTGACTCTTGATCCTAGCTCAGGTCATGTCAGGATCCTGGGATCAAGCCCTGCATAGGAGGCTCCAAAAAGAAAATTATTTGTAAACCATGCACATGAGCATACCTGAAGATGTTACCTACTCTTTGAGCACAAGGTATTATCTCCTTTGAACTGTCCTGACTACTGACCAATAGGTGTTTTTGTTCTGTTTTCATGGTGCTGAGGCAGGACACCCTGAGCCACCACTGACTTGCCTCCAATTTGGCTCTCATCTCCCTGGAAGACACAGAGCAGGCCCCTAGCCTAGTGAAGGCCCACCCCCTGCCCCATGAGCTCCTAATGCTCCTTTCATGAGCCAGCTAAGCCTCACCCCAAGCCCCTCTACCACCCATTCCAGCTCTTGTCTTTTCCTAGCCTTTAATAGATTTCCTTACTTCAATCTATGGTGCTAATTCTCCTTCTTCTCTTATACCACTCAGAACCTCCCATGTCTTCCCAGCTCCCATCCCTCCTCCATGATGCCTCACACTGAGTATTCAGCCCTCAGAACTCTTGTCACCTGAATTTATACTTGTTGGGCAGTGGTTATTGGGAGTCTGTCTGTGAGAATGGCTCTAGAGTTACAGAAACTGACTCAGATCCCATCTTCTCCACAAGAGGAAGCTTGGACATTGGCCAGGTCCACTGCCTCTCCCTGAGCCTCATGTTTCCTTATCTGAAAAAGGGAGATGATTGTAGTACTTTCATAGCATATAAAGAGGAAGGATGGAGAAGGATTCAAGGTTCACTGAGAAGTGAGCACAGAGTGGGTGTCTTTCCTCATGTCATACCATCTCTCCTAGATCATAGATCTTGGACTGACTGTGGGTTCTAGCAGTGCCTAGCATCTCGGTGTACCACCAGGCATTCCCAAGTAGAATCGAGGTCCCAGAGAGGAACCAGACACATCCCTACCCTCGAGGTGTCTAGTCTAGAATGGGAAAGCAGGGAAGACCTAGCCAGGTGTTTGCAGAAGGTGTTCACTGCTGGAACAGAAGACAGCAGAGACCCAGGCAAGGTTTCTAAGCCAGCCTGGAGCCTCAGAAGGCCTTCCAGAAGAGGTGGACTTGAATTCACAGAGTGTTGAACAACACAGGCCGAAGGCTGGAGCCTGAGAACTAGGGTCACCTAGATGGGCTCTTTGCTGGCCTTCTGCTTCCACCCTTTACCTTCAGTCCATTCTCTCCTCTCTTTTTCATTGGCTTTATTAAGCGGTTCATGAATTGGACAACATCGCATCTAATTCTGCTCTCTTGGTCCATTTTTTCTTTAAGATTTTATTTATTTATTCATGAGAGACACAGAGGCAGAGACATAGGGAGAGAGAGAAGCAGGCTCCCTATGGGGAGCCCAATGTGGGACTCAGTCCTAGGACCCTGGGATCAGGACCTGAGCCAAAGGCAGATGCTCAGCCACTGAACCATCCAGGCATGCTTAGGTCCATTCTCTTGAACACAAAAGTACAAATCTGATTGTGTCACACACTCTGTGGACCCCAACTGTCCTCTGCATAGAGTCTAAACTCAGGAGCTCACCAGCCTCATCTCAGTTATTCCTGACCCTGAGACCCATGAACCTTTGGGCCTCTGGTCCTCCGGGCCCTCTCCCTCGACATTTTCCTGACTTTTCTAAATCTGGCTGACTCCATTTAAGCATTTCCTCATGAGAGCATTCTTTCATTGGTTTTGAGGCCACTATTGTGTGTTCCTGGGTCACCTCATACCTGTGCTGTCAAACCACTTGTCACACTGCATTGAAATTGCTTTTTGTCAGGGACACTGTTTCTTACATCTGAGTAATGTACCAATTTCTTTTTAAGTTATTTTTCATGGACACCCCCCCCCCAACATGTTGACTTGAAATATTTTCATTATCATGTCACTTAGGCACATATCAACATAAAACTGGGTTAAAAAAAAAACTTGTTGGGATCCCTGGGTGGCGCAGCGGTTTGGCGCCTACCTTTGGCCCAGGGCCCGATCCTGAAGACCCGGGATCGAATCCCACATCAGGCTCCTGGTGCATGGAGCCTGCTTCTCCCTCTGCCTGTGTCTCTGCCTCTCTCTCTCTCTGTGTGTGTGACTATCATAAATAAATAAAAATTAAAAAAAATTTAAAAAAAGAAACTTCTTAAAAAAAAAAAACTTGTTTTTTGCTCTTTTAAATTATAAAATAACCGGTTTTCCAAAGTAAATGTAAAACCAATGAGATTCCATCTAACTGCATCACTGTAAAATGGTGGATGGGGATGATGTTTTGCTGAGCTGTGATATGTAGTATGACAAAGGCACTGAGTCTGGATTGCCAGAGGCCACTGTGCCCCTCCTCAAGGTCAGAATTTGAAACAGAGAGCTAAAACATTATTGTAAGAACTGGTGGACCTCTAGGATGATACATCCCTAATTCCACTTAGAGAAATGTTGGTCTGGAGCAAGAATTTGTTGCTGGAGAGTTCTAAGGAAGGGCCACCTAGATCCTGGCATGCCCTGGTGGAAGAGTTTCCAGTGTTGGCCACCCTGCTCTAGAGTCATGCTGAGAGTTAAGGAGTAGTGAGGACCATGTGGCCCTGGGTGGAAACTATACTGTGAATCCCACATGGCCTCCAACCATATATCTCTGCTTGGAGGTCTCATAGGCACCTCACATTTCTCCATTGGTAACAGATAACTTCTCCAGGTTGTCTCCTTCCCTTTCTAAGGGGTGCCTCATGATTGCCCTTTCTCAACTCATTTGATCTGTCACCAGTTCTATGCATTCGCCCCTTAAATATTTCTAGAATGTAGCTTTCCTGCCAACCTAATGACAATATTATCTGTCCCTGTCTGCACAGCCGGCCTCTCTCCCTGCCCACCCCCCTATTCATGCCACACTAGTTAGTACTCCAGACCACTTTGTTCCCACCTCTGACCAGGGAGACCCTCAACCCTCAAAGGAACTGTGCGCTCCCACAGTACCAGGACTGGGTCAGCCTTTGGACAATGAACTATAACTGCTTTTTAGAAGACCCTAACCTCCAAAGGCCAAAGCTTACTCACCACGGTATCCCAAATGTTTAGCACAATGCCTGGTACCTGGCAGGTGCTCAATAATTAACTGCTGAATTGATAGAAAATGAAGTGTCGGAAATGTCAACAGGCAGGACCTCAAAAGTAAAGAAATGTAGTAGCTCATCAATGTGGAAAAATTGGCCTAAGTCCCTGGAGGCATCTTTTTCCTCTATTTAATTTTTAAAATTTCATTGTTTATTAAGAACATTTGCAGATATCCACAAAAGAGATTATAATACACTCCTGGAACCAATCACCTGGCTTTAACATGCATCAGCATTTTGCCAAGCTTGTTTTCCCTCTCCCTGGGGACCGCTCTTTTGATTGTCTTTAACTGGCCCAAGAGCAATCTCATTAGCAAGTCAATGAGTCATTTAACTAACTGGTTTGCTGCTACTCGCCTGGGGCTAGGCAGTTGGGAGGGTAAGACCAAAAAAAAAAAAAATCATTTGTGAAGGGTTTTCACATATCCCTGTGACACCCTCTGAGTCCACTTTATTGCTGTGATTTCTAACTGTTCTAAGGGGCTGGCTGCCTGTTGGGGAGGGAAGGTAAGCGTGGCAGGGAGGGTTTGGGCCCCATTTTTTCATTCTCATACTGATTGGGGGGTGTGCTCTATACCAGGCCCAGAGCTGTGTGCTGAAAACACAGAGGTAGAACAGGCACTATCTCTGCCCCTGGGTAGCATCCTGTAGGGAGGGAAGACAATACTTAATGGACTAAGAATTCAATGTAATTAATTAATGTGGTGTCAGCTGAGTTCCCCATTCCTTCAAGTCCTTTAGGACTCCATTCAGATCAGTTTCCTGAGAAGCCTTTCCCAAAGTGGGAGAGGGGATGGAGGTGGGCGGGTTAAACCATTGGTTCCTAAGTCTGGGCAGCAGAACTCAGGGAGCTGGTTTAAAAACACATTCCTGGGCACCTGGGTGGCTCAGTCTTTGACTTAGGTCATGTTCTCTGGGTCCTGAGGTCCTATGATTGAGCCCCATGTCAGGCTCTCTGCTCAGCAAGGAGCCTGCTTCTCCCTCTGCCTGCTGCTCATCCTGCTTGTGCACACTTGTGCTCGCGCTAATATATAAAATCTTTTTAAAAATAAAAAAATAAAATGCACATTCCTGACCGCCCCCCCCCCGGATCTATAGAGCAGATGAGAGAGACCTTTTTTGTTGTTGTTAAGTTTTATTTATAAATAAGTAATCACACCCAATGTCAGGCTCAGACTCACAACCCTGAGATCAAGAGTTGCACGCTCCACCAAATTGACCCAGCCAGGCGCCTCCAAGAGATAGCTTTTTTTTTTTTTTTTAAAGTCACCCTCAAAGGTGATTCTTCTATAAACCGCTGCCTTTGAGAGCACCTGGGTATGGCTGGTCACAGCACAAGTAGCAGGTATAGTGATGTTTGGGAAAGGTCTTTCCATGCCTTCACTTCATTCCCTTCTTTTGCTTCTGTCTTTCAAAGCTGAAAAGACATTTAAATTAAAGCACATGTGTCGCCTTCTTCAAAGGCCCTCCTCTGATCCTCGTGGCCTTCATCAGCTTCCTGGTGCCCCTCCCACTCCCTTTTGCCACAGCGATTCATTCCTCCCACATTCTTCATCTCAGCCACTGATAAAAAGTACTGGCAGGACAGCACCCTTTCACACACGGCTGTTTTGTGGTAGAGACAGGCTTTTAGGCACCCAGCCTGTGTTGTGCCATATCAATCACAGAATTCACCTTGGCATTCTCCCTACCACCTCCCCAAAGACCTTGAGTGGGGGCAGATCACATGCTCTTTTCCTGACTTGGGCATGGGTTGGGCAGCTGGAAGGGGCTACAGAAAATCCTGATAGCCTGTTATCACAGCTGGCATTGGTGTGCACTCAGGCCTCTGCCCTTGCCCGGCCTCCCTCAGCTGTGCATTTCTAGCGGATGAGAAGACAAAACAGATAGTAGGCTGCCAAGTTTTCTGTGGGCCAGGGTGAGCATGTGGGAGAGTATATGTGTGGGGTGGTGTTTTTCTGCTCTTTTCTTCCCAGAATTCTAAGCCAAAATGGGAGGCGCAACTAGGGGCTAGGTGCCCACACAGCTGCTAGGCTCCTCTCCCTAAGCCTGCTTTCTCAATGGAAACACTCATCTCTACTTCATTTGAGCCAGGTCACTGTGACCTAGCCATTTCCTCTGCATGCAGAGCTAAGGTGAGCAGGCACAGTATTCTCTGGTAGCACAGGTAGCTGATGAGGCAGCTGCAGGATGCAGGAATGAAGCATCTGAGTGAGCAGAAAAGGCTTTAGTATTTTCTCTTCACCTGGCAGTGGGGGTTGCCTGGAACAGAGCCCAGCCTTTGAACTGGTGACCTTGAGCAAGTTACTGAACCTCTCTGATCTGGGCCTCTGTTTATTCACCGATTCAAATAAAGTGATCATCACAATACCTGTCTCATAAGTTGTTGAAAATTAAATGAGTAATTAGATGGGGAATATCCAGAACAGTACCTGGTATGTTTTGTGTTCAACTAGTATTTGCTTTTAGAATTAGGATCATGATTAATTCGATTATCCGTTCCACCTGTTTGGTAAGACAAAACAAAGCAAAAAAAACAAAAAAAACAAACAAAAAAACAAAGCACAGTTAGAACAGCAGTAGGGGCCTTAAAGCCAGGAGACCTGGGTTTGGATCCCAGCTCCACACTCAGAGCCTGTGTGACTTTGAGCACATTCTTTCATCTTTTAAGAGTTCAGTTCCCTCCTCTGTACTTTGGGGACACTGTTTACTACCTTTCAGGCTTGTATATAGATGAAACAATACAGGTGAGGTAGCTGGCATGGTACTGAGTCCCTTTTCTTTTAAGCACCCAGCTATTCAGCCCTACCTCTCTCTGGAGCTCCCCTGCAACTCTAGCCAGCATTCAGCTCAACCAGTATCCGCTGATGCCTGCTGTTGTGTATGTGTTCTGACTGGGAAGACCCTATAGATGAAAAGGAGTAAATGAGAACCCCAGGGCCAACCTAGAATGGAGAGGAAGAGAAGCCACAAGAAGGCTCTGGCTCTGCCCTGACCAGGAGCTTTCCAGCTTGCTGAGCAAAGAGCCATGCCAACTCCAGGCACCAGTTCCTGTCACAGGTGGCTGTCCCTTTGGCTTAGTAGAGGCAGACAGAGTCCACAGGAAGATGGTATCCAGGGCTTGCTCCTGGGATGGGCCAAGAGAGGTGAAAAACAGGGGTAGAAATTGATACAGGATTCCTATGGAGAGCTGGGCCTTGAACCATTCAGCAAATGATAGAGGAACATTAGGAATTACCACAGCCCACACAGTTCCCAATATCCTGTCACCTAGGAGGTGAGGGGGAGAGGGTTCCTGTCTTTGCTGCCTACAGCAGCTAAATGCATGCTCTGTATAAGTATCTGTTAATAAACAGTGGGGAGACAGTGCCAGGAGGGGGACCTATAGTGTCCAATGGAGGCCAGCAGGCCACAGTTTGGGCCCTTTAGTGGTTTGCCATGGTGTTCTGGCCTAGTGGGATCAGCCCTGCCTGCTCAGCCAGTTCTACCCCGGGCCCACAAAGACTAGATTGGGTCTTCCTGTTACTGCCCCCACCACTGCACCTTCCCTTCACAGGCTGAATCAGAGCTGTAATTTTCTATTCATTTGTAGGATTTCTTCTTTAACTCTCTCTTCCCAACATGAACCTGTGTGAAGGCTGGGATTATGTCTGTGTTGTTTCTGCTTTGTTTCTGGGGCCAGGAACATAGGTGCTTCGTAGCTGGTTTTGACTGAGTGACCTGATCACAGCCTTTTATACGCATTCCAGATATGCAACTGGTTCATCAATGCCCGGCGGCGGCTTCTCCCAGACATGCTTCGGAAGGATGGCAAAGACCCCAATCAGTTCACCATCTCCCGCCGAGGGGGTAAGGCCTCAGATGTGGCCCTCCCCCGTGGTGGCAGCCCCTCGGTGCTGGCTGTGTCTGTACCAGCCCCCACCAATGTGCTCTCCTTATCTGTGTGCTCCATGCCACTCCACTCAGGCCAGGGGGAAAAGCCAGCAGCCCCTTTTCCACAAGGGGAGCTGGAGCCCCCTAAGTCCCTGGTGACCCCTGGCAACACACTCACCCTACTGACCAGGGCTGAAGCCGGAAGCCCCACAGGTGGACTCTTTAATACACCTCCGCCCACACCCCCGGAGCAGGACAAGGAGGACTTCAGTAGCTTCCAGCTGCTGGTGGAGGTGGCACTACAGAGGGCTGCTGAGATGGAGCTTCAGAAGCAGCAGGACCCATCGCCTCCCTTACTGCGCACTCCTATCCCCTTAGTCTCTGAAAACCCCAAGTAGGCATCTGCCAAAAGGGGTGCTCGAGGCTCGAGCCAGCTGTCCTGGGTTTCCGTTTTGGTTCCCTTTCATACAGAGGGTTTTCTTTGGGTCACTGCCAAACATCGGGGTCATCGCCTCTGTCCAGAGGTCCTCAGCGGGAAGACACCAGTCAGTGTCACTGCACTGTGATGGGGACCTCTCTGCTAACTGCCATTTCTCCAGGCCTCAGTGATGAGATTGAGATTGGAGACAGGCATGGTGCTGCTGCTGCTTCTCCAGAGGATCCCCAGGACACCTTTGTTCCAGCCTGCTTTCTGAGGCTGGGCACAGGAAACCTGCCACATTCAGACCTATGCCCCAGAGCTGGGCCTCTTTTTGTTAAGCCAAGTATGGACATTCCAAGTTCATAAGTGTGAACAAAAGAGAAGAGGAACCCAGCAGATGTAACAGAACTGACTCCAGTTCAATGTTTAGGTTTTCACTAAACTTTGTGTTTATTTTTCCCTTTTTTGCTGGGGTTTGCATTAATGGGAGTAGTTAGCCCAGGTGTGGGGAGTGAGAGTGTTGTGTAATGAGAGTCTGATGAACTGGGAATTATGCACCACTGCAACTGGTGAGTGTTTTACAAGGAAGGAGCATTTTTATTTTGGGGACCAGCTGAATATCTGCAAAATTCCAAATGGCTGTTTTATTGTTGGTTTGATTTACAAAAAGAAAGAAAGGAAAAAAAAAACTTTTAGGGCTTTGGCTTTTCTGCATCAGGGACAGAAGGGAATAAAGCCTTCTAAAGAATAAAGAAGAGGGTCCAACACAGAATCTGACCAAACCTTCTAAGCAAAAAGCAGAGAAGGATGATAAAACCAGAGGTGGTTTTTGGCTTGGTTTGTTTGTTTTGTTTTTTTAATTCTTGTTTTTACTCTGTTTGGGGGTATAGGGGAAGTAAGCTAGACCAAGGCAATGGGTTTGGGTGTTTTGTTTTGTTTTGTTTTCTCTTTAATGTTTTCCCTTCTTTATCCTTGAAAGCTTGGCCCTGCAGCCTGAGTTTTGAATTCCTTTAAGAACTTGGATTAGTGGGGCCAGAATATCAAAAGCTGCCAGTAGCTCCTACTTGGAGAGAAGTGAGCCACCTACTGGTCAGGAAGCCCTTGTAGCTGACTCAGATGGGCAGTTTTTCCCAGGACAATGGCAAGAAGCACGGAACGTGCCTCCAGCTGCACAAGAGCCATCCTCTATGGAGGCTGGGGCTGGAAATCGGTTATGAAGCCTGTCCACTGTGTCTTTGTGTTGCACCTTTCTTTAAATTGGAGTTGCGGAGGCCTCTGCCCTGAACTTCACAGTGAAACTGATAACCATTGGTCTTACTCTTCTCCCTCCTCCCCATTTTTTAATTTGCTGTCTCATTGCTGACAGCAATACACCCATCTTTATATATCCTAAGAAACACTAATCCTAGGTTACTATTAGCCAAAATATTTTTGTTCTAAATAACATTGTTACTGGGCCAAAAGACAGGTCAGGAGCCCCTAGCCTATAGTTTCCTGAAGTTGTCAAGTCAGGCACAAGGGGGAAATTCCTGGAAGTTGACTGACTTTTGGGTGGGCCTAGCCAGGAGAAAGGCAGCAACGTGTGTTCTGTCCTTTCTGGGATGATCCCTGAAGGCTTCAGGGAGGCTACCTGACTTCTCAGTGGCTTGACCTACCCACTGCTAGGGGAATGGGGATTAGCTATTTAAGGAGAGGGAGCTTTGCTCTTTGTGAGTGGGCAAGTTTCTTACGCTCTCTCTTTTGCCACCCCACCCCATCCTTGCATGTCCCAGGGGGATCAGGGATCCTCACCCTCCTGAGGCCCAGCTGGGGAAGAAAGAACATAGCAGCTTCAAGATTACTTGAAGCTGTTTACCCAGCCTGTTCCACCCCCACCCATGTCTGTGAGCCCAGGTCTGGTGTGACTGTTGGAAGATGCTTGTAGCAAGGGACCCTGGAAGTATACTGGGCTGGGGTAGGACTTCCTTTCCCGCAGTGCACTGAGCAGAGGTGGTGAGGGGTGAGGAGCCATGCTGCTGAATTCTGGTTGGCATTCCCCCCTTGTGTAAGATGGGGAGGCTGGGGGTGGGGCAGCCTCCGCTTGGTTTGGTTGTACAATAAACCTGGAGGAGAAGCACAGTTATCCCATTGAATTATTTGAGCAAAAAACTACTGTAAATAACTTTTGTTTTTGTCTTTCGTTAAATAAAGTTGTTTTTGGTTTTTGTTTTGTTTTTATTTATTCACGAGAGAGACAGAGAGCGAGAGAAAGGCAGAGACACAGGCAGAGGGAGAAGCAGGCTCCACACAGGGAGCCCAATGTGGGACTCCATACCGGGTCTCCAGGATCACGCCCTGGGCCTGGGGCAGGTGCCAAACCGCTGAGCACCCAGGCGTCCCTTGTTTTGTTTTTTAAAGCAGAAACAGATTGACCCATGGTGACCCTGGACCTCATCTGGAGGAGGGGCAATTGCTGAGTTCTTACAGGGCCTTATGCCTTCCCCCGTCTAGCAGCCACCTGTCAGTGTTGGGCATCCTGCATCCTTATTTCCTTGGCCTCAACCCTGGTCCATATCCCTTTAATCACCGTGGGCAGGGGGCATGTACCTCCCAAGCTGTACCAGTCTTCCCTGGGATAAACAATCAAGCTTTGGGATTGCTGAGTGGTGAGGGAACTTGGAGAGTTAGCAACTTTATCCTCCCCCTCAACCAGTGAGGAAACCGTAGGACTGTAGGATGAAGTATGAAGCCAGCACAGAAAGCAGCAGAGATGAAATGGATCCTTTAGTCATGTCTGAAACCGGTACCATCTCTAGACTTCCCCTATTACGTAAGCTAGTAAATTTCCCTTTTTTGCTTAAGCTAGCTGTGAGTTCCACTTATTTCGTAAGGAAATGACTGACTATACGTTTAACTACAGCCCAAACAGTGCAAGATCACGGCCTGTAGTAGTAAACAGACCTGCTATGTGCCTGGGCCCCTGCAGTGTTCATTATTATTTTAATTTTTGTATATACACAAAAGAAGGGAAATGCCTTTCTTAAAGAAGCTGAGGATTCATTAAATTACTTGGCCTGAACTATACAGCCAGTATTAAATGGAGCTGGGATATGAATTCAAGTCTGTCTTGCTTGAAGGTCACTCTGACATCTGCCTAGACCTTATTTGATCTAGTGATGGGCAGCCTGGCGTTCAACTAACATGGCCTAGGCTGAGCTTTAAAAATTTCTTCTGAACCAAACCAGCTTCTTCCTGATTCCAACAGACCTAGAGGGAGGACACTTAATCACTCTCCTTTAGAGATCTGGAGTCAGTCCCCAGCCCCCTTCATGTTCCCCAGATTAAAGAGCCCCAGTTTGAAAGAGTTTAGCCATTCATCGGATGTCCTGCTTTTCCACTTCCCTCTAGCAGTATCCCTCAAACTGGACACCTGGCCCTAGGTCTTGGAAGAATAGAAACAGGCTGGAAGGGTTCTTCAAAATAAGTTTAATAATCATTTTCATCTGGAAAATTAATATTACCCTAAAAGGGGAAGTGATTTGGATGGTTTGACTGCCTTAGCAGAGATGGCTTCCTGCAAATACTTTTCAAAGAACTGAAACCAAAAGCATCTTCAACGTCAAAACTCAAATTTATGAGCCCTTTAATAAGCAAGCACTTTATTTTTTTTTTAATTTTTTTTTTTTTTAGCAAGCACTTTAACAAAAGTTGACAGGGATAACATGACTAACACCTCTCTCCTCTGAAGCTAGAAATATTATCTAAAGACATCTAACTTTCCTGTAACAGTCCCATTTAGGAAACTGCATTTAAGTGCATTTCTGGGGGCACCTGGCTGACTCAGTAGAGCATGCAACTCTTGATCTCGGGGTCTGAATTTGAGCCCCACGTTGGGTGTAGAAATTACTTAAAAGTCTTTAAAAAAAAAAAAAACCCTCGGGTTGGACTCCCCTCTGGATTTAAAAAGTATACTTTAGGGGTGCCTGGCTGGCTCAGTCAGTGGAGCATCTGACTCTTGATCTCAGGGTCATGAGTTCCAGCCGATGTTGGGGGTAAAGATTACTAAATCAATAACTAAGAAAATAAATAAAAATTACACTCTAGTTTAGAAACTGCTAATGGGAAAAAAAATACCAAAAGGGAGGGACTTAGGCTGCCTTGGTAGGCTGTAACCTTGCTATGTTAGCCACTGGAGCTATAGAGAATAAGGGAACTCAGGGAGGGACGTGTAAATAATAATCATCAATGCTCTCAATGTTACTGGTTTCCAAAGCCCTTCTCCATAATCTAAGCCTGCATTCAAATTCTGGCTCTGTCACCTAACTAGCTGTTGTGATCATAGGCAAATCATTTAAGTGTTCGAAACTTCAGTCTCCTCTTCAATAAAATGGAAATGGTAATAATCAGCTCTTAGGAGAATCAAATAGGATAATCCACATGTTACTGTTATTATATATTGTTATTATCTGGCCTCTCAGCACAGGGCTAAGAGTAAAACAGAACTCTGAAAATGACTTGCCTCATACCACACAGCTGTTAAGTGGCAGAACTGAAAGGAGTTAGCCAGAGAAGTGTTTCTCAAGCCTTAATATGTATCAAAATTATCAGGAGGGATTACAAAAATGCAAATTCCCAGACCTCACCTCCAGAGAGTCCAAAAATCTGCACTCTTTGTTTATGCCACAGGAGATTCTCATACTATTGCTCCAGGGACCTGATCATTTATAATCAGGACAGTGACTTATCCCAAGGAAGCTTCTAGGTTAAGACAGCACATTATCTTTCAAGTTTTAAGATGAGACGAAGAAGGGTAGCACCAAGTGATTTACCCCTCCCTATGACAAATCAGTTGACTTCCCCTCAGCTCCCAGGCCCCTATGGTGGTCTGAAGGTCAAGTGTAGCCTTTTTGAGATTGTCATTTTATTTTTTATTTTTTTGGTTTATTTATTTTTTTTTAGAGATTGTCATTTTAATTACATAAATAATCCACATTTGTTGTAGAAAATTTTAAAATAAAGGTAAAAGGAGTTTGGTATAGTGGTTACGAGCCTGACCAACTTTTGGAGAAAAACATGTAAAACATTTAGCAAAATTGGCTCCTAGTAACCCAGTAAGTACTAGTAAAATATTTATTGTAGGCAAAAAGAGGACCTGGATACAAATTCAGTCCTCTACTTCACAATGGGTGCTCTTTCCACAGCTTGTGGTTTTTTCCCCACAGGACTCCTCTGATTTCTGTGACTTCATCTGTGTCTGTCTAGGGCCCTCAATCTTACCCCTCAGAGCACACTTTCCTCTCCAAACCTTCAACAAGCAGCTGGCAGTGGTATAGAGGCATTCAGCTGAGAGGACATACTCAGCCCCAAGGCTGAGATCATGTGTTCAACTGGTGCTTAAAAAGTCCCAACCTCACAAAGGCAAAATTTGTCCTACTTCCAAATCTCTCTCCCACTTCCAAATCTGACTCTTCATCAAGTTCTTTTCCATCTTAGACCACCCAGGATGTTTATTTTAACCAGATGGATGCACTGGGATTCAGCCAGACTCCCCACTTCCTAAGATAAGGAAAGCCTTGGGTGAAAGCACAAAGGGATCAAGTCTCAGTCCTATAAATAGGGCTAGGCAAGGGTTCTCCATGCTAGCTCCCAGCTTGGCTTTGTCTGCTCCTAGAAAGCTAAGAGGAACACAGATTGGGTTTCGGATACCAATGAACCTCTAACTTGCTGTGTGATACTGACCTGGACTGGATCTAAGGACCCCTCTAAATATAACTTTCTGTGACCCTCTCCCTATGAAATCACAAACTTAATGAATCTCAGAGTTAAGAGCTTCACAATATAATAGGACATATAAAACTCTTCTTGCAAAAAATAAAGTTATCTGTTTGCAGGTGATATGATCACATATGTAGGAAACCCTAAAGACTCCACCAAAAGAAAACAGAAAATAATAAACAGATTCAGCAAAGTTGCAGGATACAAAATCACACAAAAATCAGTTGTGTTTCAGGGTGCCTGGGTGGCCCAGAGGTTAAGCGTCTGCCTTTGACTCAGTTTGTGATCCTGGGGTCTTGGGATCAAGTCCTACACCAGGCTCCCCAAAAGGAGCCTGCTTCTCCCTCTGCTTATGTCTCTGCCTTGCTCATGAATAAATAAATAAAATCTTTTTAAAAAATCAGCTGTATTTCTATACACGAACAATGAACAATCCAAAAAGTTAATTTTTAAAAATTTCAATTTATAATAGCATCAAAAAGCATAAAATAGTTAAGAATTAACCAAAGAAGTGAGACTTAGGCATTTAAAACTATAAAACATTGCTGAATGAAATTAAGGAAGATAAGAATAAATGAAAAAATATCTCGAGTTCATGGATTGGAAGACTTACCTACAGATTTTTACTGCAATCTCCATCTAAATCCCACTGACTTCAGGATGCCTGGGTGGCTCAGCGGTTGAGTAAGCAATCTGGGATCAAGTCCCACATCAGGCTCCTTGCGAGCCTGCTTCTCCCTCTGCCTGTATCTGCCTCTCTCTCTCTGTGTCTCTCATGAATAAAGAAATAAAATCTTAAAAACAAAACCAAAAACAAACAAAAAAAAAAAAAAAACAGGCTCCGTGCCCAACTTGGGTCATGAACTCAGGACCCCTAGATCAAGAGTCACATGTATGTTCTACCAGCTGAGCCAGCCAGGCACCTCCACTGACTTTTTTTTCCCCCAGAAACAGAACTCACTCTAAAATGTATATGGAGGACGCCTGGTGACTTAGGGGTTGAGCGTCTGCCTTCAGCTCAGGGCGTGACAGGAATCCAGGATCAAGTCCCTCATCAGGCTCCCTGTGAGGAGCCTGGAACTCAGCCTCTCTGTCTGTGTCTCTCATAATAAATAAAATCTTTTTTTTAATAGTTTTTTTTTTAATTTTTATTTATTTATGATAGTCACAGAGAGAGAGAGAGGCAGAGACACAGGCAGAGGGAGAAGCAGGCTCCATGCACCGGGAGCCCGACGTGGGACTCGATCCCGGGTCTCCAGGATCGCGCCCTGGGCCAAAGGCAGGCGCCAAACCGCTGCGCCACCCAGGGATCCCTAAAATCTTTTTTTTTTAAGATTTTATTTGTCTATTCATGAGAGACACAGAGAGAGAGAGAGAGAAAAGCAGACGGAGGAGCAGGCTCCACGCTGAGAGCCTGATGCGGGAGTCGATCCCAGGTCTCCAGGATCAT